AGTAGGATTAAAAAGTGGCAGTGGTGTTCGTGGTAGTAGCGAGGGTTGTAATGGCGATGCTAAAAGTGGTGGAGGTAAAAGCAGTGGTAGTAGTACTGATAATAGTGCTTGTGATAGTAGTGGTGGTGGTGGCTGTGGTGGTACTACTGGTGGTGATATTACTAGAGATGGTTGTAGTGGTGGTAGTAGAATAGGTGGTAAATGTGGTGGTGGTAGAAAAGAGGAGGTAGTGGTAGTGGTAGTGATAGTAGTAGTGGTAATAGTAAAAGCGGAGGTAGTATTGTAGGTGGTACTAGTGGTGATAGTAGTGCTGATAGTAGTATTAGGGTTTGAAGCAGTGGCTGCAGAAGTAGTAGAGATATTGCAAGTAGGGTTAGTAGTAGCAGTAGTAATGGTAGAAGTAATGGTGATAGTAGTAGTGGTGGAAGTAGCAATGATTTTATCAGAAGTTGTTGTAGTGGTAGAGATGGTGTAACTTGTAATGGTAGAAGAAGAGGTGGTAACATTAGTTTTGGTGATACTAGTGGCAGTGATGGTGGTTGTGGTAATAGTTACAGTGGTCACAGCAGCAGTCGTGATATTGGTGGTGCTAGTGGTAGTGTTGGTAATAGTATTGGGTATAGTTGTAGAGGTACTTGATGTTGTGGCGGTAATAGAAGTAAAAGCGGTGGTAGTAGTGCTGAGTGGTAGTAGTAAAGGTGGTAATGGTAGTAGTAGACTTCGATATCTCCAGACAGAAGCAAAATCCTACGTGTAGCGGTTGCGTTTGAGTATTAAGCAATGCGACATTTTAAAAATTTGCACTTTCTCCCTCGGTGATATACTTTTGGTGTTTCAGGCAGATGATAATCACAAGTTAATGATGTAGGAAGTGCGAACAAAGGCCAATCAACGCAAACGTTGACACAATGGAATACAGCAGTCTGCTCTTGGAAAGCTTTCGCTAGCCACCATCGGCGAAGGAGAATTGTAATCATTTTGACTCGAAAGTTGGATATTTCCATTCCCTGACATCGCTTCACTGAACTCTTTACCGTTACCCATCCTTGTATCGCTTTTTCAGTTTTAACCAGCTCCCCAGTCCCGATAAAATTGACTAAAAACAGAGATCGTAAAAGAGCGTGCCTTCCCTTCATAGTTATGCCAAAGTATAGGAGTTACTCAGGGTAACCTAGGTTACTTAGGGTATATCGTAATAGTGGTGATAGTAGGAGTGGTGGTAGTATAAGAGGTAGCAGTAGTACTAATAGTAGTGGTGATGATAATAGTGGCCCTGGTAATAAGATAGGTGGTAGTAGTGTTGATGGTAGTAATGGTGTTGGTAGTAGAAGCGGTGGTAGTATTACTGGTGGTCGTAGTAGTGGTGATATAGGATATGTTGTAATGGTGGTGTTGGCAGTAGTGGGGTGACAGTGGTATTGCAAGGTGAGGTGGTGGTAGTGGTAGTAGTAGTG